CTCAGAATAACTTCTTATATCACCTGCACTGCCGTTCCAGCTAAGATCTAACAACATGCATCCCTGCTCTGTTTCATTATTGATAGGCAATATTGACCTGTTTGTCTCTCTTAACTGATGAGAATGATTTACCTTCCTGTTTGTCCTCGCTGAGCTGTGAGAAGAATCTAGATACAGACCCAATAAAAGCATACAGGTTTATTCTCAGTAACTCCCAGCATCGAGGACAAACTTTCACCATTGATGCAGCAGGTATGTATACAAAAACACATAAAGACAAATTTATTAGACTACCACTGAAAGGTTTATACCACAGCTGTCCTAAATTAACAGTATTGGTAATTGCCAAAATAATGTTTAGTGTTGCTGTAATGATTAATTCACCAGTAGGAACAAACTCTTTTATCAAAATAAAGTTTTTAATGATAGAATATAATTGTTTTTGTCCATGAATTTTAAAATTTACTTGTTTACTAAAAAGCTGAAAAAGGCACATTATTACCTTTTGATTAAGATGCCAAATTACAGTTATTTATTTGGCTCCCTGAACAGAAAAAAATAGTTTTAACAGTTGAATACACTTGATTAATTTTTGACTTCTCAGAGAAGTCCAGCGTCAGCTCAAATTTGGATATAAAAACGTGATATCTTTAAAATATTTGTGTTTTGCTTTAGTTTGTTAGTTTGTTTTATGACAGGCGGTCACATAAATTTCTTAAGCACTGAATTCCATTAAACTAACAGCTTGTTGGGGTCCTTTGGTGGCTCTGTGAGTCTGAGACGTCATAATACAGGGTCAGTGAGGTCAGTTTATATTTTATCATAAGTCATCTGGTATCAGTTTTAGTATGTACATGAACTGGGAAATTATGAATGATAAAGTTTCCAAAATGAACATTTATCTTTACCTTTTTACATTTCAGCATTTATCATATTGTGACCCTCTATTTTTTATAAATGTCCCTTTGAATGGGCTTAAACCCCAGTTTCAGAATCAGTACCTAATTGAACAACTCTTAATACCAAAGAGTATGTTTTATTTGTGCAACCCGACATATTTTTTTTGGATCTCTTCCTTAAAAGATTTTTATTTTGTGGCCTAAATCAAATTTGCATCGTTAGTGCTCAAATTTAGCCTTGGGATGGACACAACTATTTCATCCCAGAGCAGAAAAGAACAGCATTCGTGAACCTTTCATTAAAAAAGTAACCGTTTGAGTGCAACTCGCGGTAGTTGAGGTTTATTTTTAACTTTGGTTTGCCAGTTTGTTTTTACCTTAGGGGCTGGTTTGTTTATATTGAATTTGAAAAAAACATATTTTAATATATCTTTGAGCCTTGCACTGTGAACTCCAGTGGATTCTGAATGCAGGGCTTTTAGTTGTAATAGTAGAGTATCCTCTGCTGGAAATACTATATAACAGGAAGCAGTTTGTTGGTCCCTACTGATCTGAATACCATGCCCCATGCTGACAAGCTATACATAATTAGTTCTGCCTAACGGACAAGCCCTTGTAAAATCCATTCACCAGAGCGCTGTGATATAATGGACCAAATGTTTTAAGATCCTGTCTTGATGCGCTTGCAGAGCCCATGCTATATCTGTAAGAGGACAGATGGCCATCCCTGTTGGTGTGATTCTCCACAGCTTCTCCAAACTAATACACCCGGCATATGGACATGCAGCACAGGGTGGGGGACTGGCACCGGGCCCTTGGGACAGCACGCTGACAGGACAGGGGACAGTTTCTAAAATGCTGGTTCCCAGCCACACTCAAGACCCAAAGCCCTTAGCAGGCATATTTCACTTACATAAATGTTCCTGCGTCTCAGGGAAACGAACCCGCAGGTGCTCGCTGGCGGGCTTCATCCAGCACCAGAGATTAGGTCACGGCTTTCATGAAGCAGGGGGCAGTGGTGCTGGTGACAGTCTGGCATGGGCCATTAAGATGAGGGCAGAAGAGCAGTTTATCCTCATTTAGGATAACCTTGGTTGAAAGGTATCAGGATAATTTCCTTGTGTGTTATCTCTATTCTCCTATCAGAGTGTTCTTGAGCTCTCCTTCTGCTCTCGCCACACTACCCCCCTCCCCCCAACCCACCCAACCACCCACCCACCACCACATTTCTGGACCGATCCCAGCTAAAGGGATTAATGGCCTTCTGAAGGAATATCACAGGATATAACAAAACCTACTACCAGAATGAATTCATTTCACAGCTGCCACATCGATGCAGTCCACCTTCAGCTGGGAGGAAATCAATCTGTATGATGCCAGTCACAGGGAAAAGGCACCTCTGTGTAGAGATTCTTTGCTTGTCTCGAGGTATTTACACATGTCAGAGCAGGGATGAAATAGCAGTGAGTGGCGGAAAAAGAAATGGCAGCTGCACAGACTCTATACTGCCATCATGTGGCGCAAGGTGGCACATTGAAAGTCTCAACTGCAAGCTGGCTCCACAGTTTAAATCAGCTTTAAAGGAAAAATTCACATTACCATTACGAAGGTGCAAACGTGTTGTTTCCACCACCGGGTTGCTTTACACAGTGACAGCATAAATAAACTAAGAAGAAGCTAAAATGAACGCGTTCTGTACCCAGTAAAAATGTTTACTTTGTCACAATCTTTAAATCTATCAGCTGATGAAGGCTGCGAGGGTCTGGGCTTTCCTCAACTATAGAGTGGAGCCTCCTTTCATAAAAGAGCCATTTGAGGTCATTCAGCCATCTGACCAGGTTGGCTCCTGAGCAGCATCAGAACAGAGAGATTACATCTCTTGGCTGGCTAAGGAACTCCTCAGTGTCTCCCCAGAAGAGCTGAGGAGGTGGCTGGGGTGAGGGAGGTCTGGGCATCTTTGCTCAAACTGCTGCCAAGACCAGGATAACTGACAGAAAATGGATAGATGCAGCTGTCAGCAAGTCACCCTGGTATTTGTAGGAGTGATACCTGCAGGGCCGTGCCTAATGTGGAGCACAGAATTTAATCCACTGCCTTTTTTTACTACTAACATCCATCCTCCACTTTCTTCCACTTATACAATTCAGGACACCCTTGATAGGCAGGGCTAACACAGAAAGACAATCCCTCTGAGTTTGAACCCAAAACCTTCTTACTGTGAGGCAGTGGTCTTAAACCACTGTGCCGTCCTGTGGCAGAGCTAGAAAATTTTACATGGGTGGGCAAAGGAGGGGCAAGAGGTCTAGGTAGGGTAGCGCATACCCCTTCAGTGAAGTATGTGAAAATCCCCTATATGCAAATTAAGTCAACAAAATATCCACAAAACTGTTTATTGTATCTTTTCTTCAAAGAAAACAGACAATTTTTTAGGTTTAGACAACTGGTATTTTAAAGCATTTTAAGGACATAAAAGTTGGGGTGCAGCTGGGGGGGAAGAGAGGCTCTACAACAGTTGCCCCTTGCCCCCCCCCGTGTAGATCCGCCCCTGGTGTATTGAATATTATCTTGAAGTCTGGGTTGCATGTGATTCACGCTGATCCTACTTAAAGTGCTTTCACATAGGGTCTGATGAGATGTTTCTCACTGTAACAATATCGCCTGGTCAGCAATGTTCCGGGGAAAATATACCTCGGGATGTTAATCACAAGTGAACAATGGCTGCAGATTGATTTACTTGAACAAAGCTCTGATGAGTCAGTGAAATCCACCCGACTATCAGCTGAGCACCGCTACAACGGGAAGGTACAACTCACGGAAATCTGACCTTTTGCACGTAGTTAACAAGCTCAGTGTTGCTAACCTGCTTCAGCTTGATTGACAGCCTTGAAACAGGATCCGAAACATTTCTTCAATTTACACGTGGACCCTAACAAATGCCTGTTGTCCGTAATTCTATTAATGATTATTCATCAGCCGACTCCCTTATCACCCACCAGGTCACTGGCAACCCACGATAACGGTTGAGTTTTATTTTGCAATGTTCAGAAACTATGAGATAAACATTCAAAACAAGTTTTTTCTTTAGCGTTAGTTTTTCTGTTTAATGCTTTTCCATTTGGTTGCTACATTCAAAACAAAATTTAACCCTAATTGTAGAAGGGCTGCCAAGAACTTAGTTTAAACATCATGCATTTATTAAACTTTAAAAATGCGCATTTTGACAGGGGATTCCTTTGAACTTACAAAATAACTGGAGAAAAATATTTTAAATAAGATTTTTTAGTTGTATGAAGTTGTCCGATAGGTTGGCTCAGAATAGCCGCTGTTTTTGACTGAAAAGTTCATTTCACAAGGTACAGTCCTTATCAACTAACACTTTGGTCACATCCCACCCAAAGTGGATCACCTGAGACTCTGATATCTACAGACAGGCAGATGAAGGCAACCATTAATAATCCTCCTACAGAATTATCTACGGAAACCTTTTACGTCTCATAAATACCTTTAGTTTCCCCCTCCAGTATGAACCAGTGGACCGAGTGCTTCGTTGTCACAAGAACAGGAAATCTTTCCTAACAATCTTTGATTTTAACAGTTAATTGGCCTTTTAAAATGGTCATTTGATCTTACTTATTTTAAAATGCTATAACAAACGGAACCACAAATACGCAATAAAAAAATAAAAAAAATTGAATGTTAAATATACCTTTACAAAGCAGTGAGTGTCTTAGGTGTTTTTTTACAACACCACTGTAAAACAGGTGTGTTGATTATTGGCAAGATGAAACCATCTTTTGTTTTTATTTATTTTGACTGTCTTGTTTTAATAACTGCAGAAATATATTGGCTTTGGGTGCGTGACATTACATTAGTGATTCAGATCACACTAGTACCATTTTAGGAATGAATTTAGATAGGGTTCCTATTTTGAAAATTGACCACTCCATTTCTATCTTTGACTTCCTGCTGCCCTCATTTGCTACATGTTACAGTCCGTGGGGCGTCTGGTGGAATTGCAAGCATCACGTTGGCTGGCTTTATCAGAGCTAACATGGCCAGTGTGGACCCAGTCCTTCAAACAATGACTCAAAGAAAAACAGCTTCCAATTTGAGATTTTTATTATTTGGAAAAATTAAGTCTCAAAAATTCAACTTACATTTGAATAACAACTGCACGCAAATTCAAACTGAGGTGTAATATATGGCATAATAATGCTTAACATCTGTCATAATGTTTTGCTTACGACGAGAACTCCAAAGCAGCAGCGAGGAATCCGTAATCATTAAAGTCGACAGGTTCAAGTAAGACATGTAATTACAGCTCGTTAGTCCTTTAAGTTAAAAGCAATTCAAAAGAGGGGAAAATAAAAAAAAGTTTAAAGAGAGGCTGAGCAATTATTTATCAACAGGAAACGTTCCATATCGAGCAAAGCGATATCAAAACTACAACAAACCGGCTGTGCATCGTTAAACTTAAATAGATACGGAAAATATTTAACAAGCACATTTTACAAAGCATTTTAACACTGATGAAAAAAAGAAGCTGATGGCAAACAAAAAAGAAAAAAAAAAAAAAACTGCACCAAAGAATCACAAGTTTTAAAATATTTAAGAAAAAGAAAAGGATGGCAACAAAAAGCACATTCTCACAATTAACACTATAAAAACCAAACTGGATTTTCAATAAACAGATTTGGCCAAATTCACTCGATTACTTCAAATTAAAAAAAAAAAGCACATATTCAAGTTGTGTTTTTGAGATTTCTTCCAGTTATACAGAAGGTAACAAGATGTACCTTAATCCACTTGTCTACAACCAGAATCTACGCTAAGCGACGTCACTGTGCGACACTGAAGAAAATGTTAAATATAGGAAGAGGTGAGGATAATTCAGGCTTTCAGAGACTCTGAAACTGCAGGCAAACCTCATAGCAAGAGGTGGGAAACTACACAGCAAACCCATCAAGTACACTTTCTGTGAACTACAGTATGCAAAGACTATGTACAACATCGAGGCTGCAGCCCGTCGGCATTTAAAAGTTAGTTGGCTCAGTTACAGTTCATAAATATTTGAACTTCAAAGACTAGCAACTACATTTCCTAAAATAAACTACCTAATCCAAATTCCTGTTTTTTTGTGGAAAGAAAAAAAAATTACATACATTTTTAACCCTTTCAAAAACTACTTTACACCACATGTCCAGTGTGTGCCTTCTCACCCACCTTGCTGACTTTCTCATCATGCTGGGACATGTTTGGATACACATCACATTACCAGGAGTATATTTGTCGTTAAGAGGTGGCACTACATTAGAGGAAAAGTCAAGGTGCATACAAGTTTATCTGTTGGACACCGCACAGTCGTTGGGTTGGATTGTGGAACAAGATCAACAAAGAGGCTGTTGGTCTGTGCACGCCTGAGAGGACGCATGCAGAGAAATCTTGGCGCAATCGAGAAATCTGATACTCAAATCAAGGCTGGGTTGTGATACCGACAAGTACCACTTCTCATCCTTTCACACATAAGTATCCAGGTCTTCCAGCTTGCATTTCTGGAGTTTGTTGGAGTTTCTCAGTCTCTGGTGTATGTGTGTGCGTTTTGCTTTTCTCAGTGTTTTTTTCAGGTGCTGCGTGCGCTTGTCCATTTGGTGTTGTGATGGTTGTGGCTCTGTATTTATATGCCCGAGTGTCTGCCTCTAGATGTGCGTTATTCTGTGTGTACCAGTGTATCTGAAACTGCACCTACTGCGCCGTGATGTGAGACAGACTATAGGAAAGCACTTGGGTTTGCTCGTGGATCCTTCTGGTTTCTGTAGCGCACAGCAAGCCACACTCCCAGGATCTGTTAACAGAGGATTTACATGTAAGAGAACAGCATTAAAAAGGCCCTTAGAAGTTATTTTTCTCACCAAAGCTAGACCACAACTCACCACAAATGTGCTCATCATGTAACACAAAAAGGAAGGACAACAGTGAAGTGAAAATACTGGACAAACTTGAACAAACTGATAGCGTCATTTGCAACCAGTCTGTGCAGGAGGGAGCAAATGTGTAGCAATCACGAGTCATTTTTATTTAAAAGAAAAAAAAAAAGTGAAGCTGTCTGTGAAACAGTCACAGCTTTTAATCTGTTAGTAGGGCAGCTGTGGCTCAGGTGGTAGAGCAAATAATCAGGAGGTCAGCGGTTCGATCCCCCCCCCCCCAAGTCCATCCTTGGGCAGGACACTGACACCTGAATTTCCCCTCATTCATTTACAGAGTACTTAGGCATGCAGGGTGTATGAATGTGTGCTTAGCACCGGCAAATTCTTCCCTTTAGTGTTACTGATACTTTGTGGGTTTTTATTAATGTGTGCCTCTGATCACAGATAGCCAGTAAGGATGCCAAGTATGGAGCAGCCACAGCAGGAGAAAGACAGGTTAGAGAAGATTCATGGATGTAGTGAAGGAGGACACGCACAAGATCGATGAAGAAGATGTGAGGAATAAGGCGAGACGAAGGCAGAAAAAAGTTGAAGTCTGACTCATTATGGTTTAGGCATTAAAATGACTTAAGGTTACACAATAAAACTACTCAGTTAACTTTCAAACACAGTGGTTGCTACTTTGTCCAAGGCTGTATTTATTGGTTTGCCACAATGACACGTCTCCCTGAAGAGTCTCATGAACATTCATGCTGCTCACTCTAATTACACTTATTACCACACATTACTTAAAAACAGTCATGAAACACGACTATTTCATGGTTTGGCATGAGAGCCATCTGGTAAACCTTCAGCACAGTCCAATAGAGTGGAGACTGCATAAAATGAATTTCAAAGACTGCATATTTAGATTTGGTCAGGACATTGGTAACAACTCCAACACTGTATAAATCATCTTTATTCCAACAGAGCCCAAAAATGTTCCGTTTTCCTTAGAAGACCAACGAAATGAGAAAATAACAGTTCTGAAAGTAGGTCTTTAGAGCAGAATATCAGAATTTTACAATATGAAAATATATATGTGTTATATTATATGTGTGTGTCATCATGAAACAGCACATGGAATATGTGCTTAGACTGTTCATTAGTGAAAAATGAATTACACAGAAAAAAAGCACATTCACCCACTACTTTTAGATACACCTGTTCATTAACCCAATCATCTAATCAGCCAATCACATGACAGTAAGTCAATACATTTAGACACATAGGTGTTGTCAAGCCAACCTGATGAAGTCCATTTAAAGGATCAGATACAAACCTCAGTGAAGCTGAAAAAGAGCCCGACGCCTCCGAGGATCTTCAGAGCCTCTGTGGCATGATCCAGCATCTTCGTTCCACAGGGCACACATCTACCTTCCGTTGTGCATGGCTAGAGTGAAAGAGAAAGGCGTTCTGTCTTTTTGCACTATGACTCAACGGGTTGTCAGCTAAGCCAGTATTAGCTACCAAAATCTATTCTGAGAATAACAGTAAGTGCCCTACTTTTTCCTAAAGGAAATGCTTATGTGATTTTTGCTTGAGGCTCATTGTGTAACTGGAAATACAGAAAAAAAAAATCATTGATAGAGTGGGTAAAAAACAGAAATAAAATGGGGTTTATTTAGGCAACAACTGAAGTATGCACCTAAACCTTTCTAGTGGGTTTTTCCATGACTGTGTTTTTCTTTAGTTAATGAAAAAAATGTGATATTTGAGGCTTACAGCACGACAGCTCCCCAAGTCCTGGTTAAACTGCTGCAGTTTGACAGTGGTGTTGAAGAGCCCACAGCAGTTGAGTTGGGTCTCCAAGTCTTCCTTGGTCTTATTTTCCATGATTCCCCACGCAGAGTTCAGAAGTGTCTCCTGGAAAATGTAAACATGACAAATAAAAGCCAAAGGCATTAAATCATATACATTTCATATGAATTCAGAAATGCAGATTTTGAAATAGACATTATGTTGGCTCACCTGCTGCCCACGGTTCATTGCCAAGCAGGAACATGAAATTCCAAATTGGAAGAGGAAGACAATGAAGAGAATGACCATGTACTGAGAAGCAGGGGTCAAAGAAACAACGGCAGCAACTCCACATTTCAAACAACAAAGAATAATCATCTGTGAACTGGGAGGGATTTCGGCCCTGATTTCTTAAACTGTATGTAAAAGATGGATGTAGCCACTGTGACGTCATCCAGCGGTTTTTAAGATCCTGTTTTTGAAGCGGAGTATTTTTCCCATCTGCATCCTAGCTATGCGAAACCGGATCAGAGCATAGGATGGACATGACTGAGAAACATGGGTACACTGCATGCTCTTATGGCAGTGATTTGTTAATTACACTGTAGCTCTGTTCCAACTTCAGAAATTGTACTTCATGTTGAATCAAACAAGACTTGGAACTGAAGCTCAAAGCCGAGCCCGAAAAAAAGCTGATCAGATTAAAAAGATCAGGGAAGTGTAGGGCCGTTTTCCCATCGAGTTTTATAAAACCATGCTGCCCATTAAGGCACTTCAGCACTGGCTTTACATTCCAGGCTTAGTTCTCCAAACTATCTTGCTGCCCAGATATGAGCTTGTCCACTGTTGGGAAGTTTGAAAGGAAGCTCCTCGACACACAGGTGAGGTAAAGATAAACTGTTACTAACAGGTTGTTTTACCTGAAGGCAGAAGAATTTGTACCAATAATTTGGGGGCTGTAATTCAAAATGATGTTTCTTTATGCACAATCACTCCAGATCTGACACAACGAATAGTGGCATTAATGTGCCACTCCAGGCTTAAAAAGACTGCCTTTATAACCCAGTAGCAAATATTTCGTTTTGTTTAACAGAGTCTAAGAGACGATCATTTGCCACTTTCCGTGTGTAGTTTTGTTTTTTAAAATTCTGCTGCTTCTGCTTTATTAATGCCAATACCAACAATTTCTTTTATTCTCTCAACTTCAGGCAGAAGAATGAGTCACAGTAAACCTACATAAAGGCCCACTTATGCAGGAATAATAATTCTGTTGTACACTGTGATGCTGCCAGAAACTTAAACTAACAAACATTTTTGGTGATACAACCCAGCACCTACATAAACTACATCCTGTGTTAGGTCTGACGGGCACCGCAAACCTTGAGACAGTTCAAAAGTATGGAAGAAGACTGGATGGGACTTAGGAAGGACAAACATTTAAACCAAAAGATAAGTAATTTTTCCCAAATAACCCAGATCTACTGCGAACTTGTGCATCAACAAAGCTATAAAGGATACAAAGAAAAGCATGACTTGGTGGTGGTGCATGGCTCCGATCAGTCCTACAACAGCGATGAGCAGCAGGAAGACGCCCACTGCAATGACCCCTCCGATAATGTGGATGCTGGACACCAGGCCGTAGCCCTTCCCCCATGCCGCGACTCCGATCAGCAGCAGCCCAACCAGCTGAAGGGAGCAAAGGGAAAGAGGTTAACCACGGTCAGCTGAGGCAGAGTGCATCAGATGGATCACAGCTTATCACGAGGTAACAGCACTGTGGTTTGATTACTACAAACACAGCTCAGTCTGTAGAGAAGAGTTCAGCTTTGGAGTTCAAGTGTGAGAAAGAGGCCGACTAAAAAACAAGTTTAGTGTTAAATACCTCACACAGCTTGAGGACATGAAGCTGCTGGTCCAGGACAGTGTTTTATGTATTTAAAAATGTATTTTTAAATCATCTGTAACCAATTCCAAACACAGTTATATTTTAGAGCATTTTTTATTATTCTTTCACTTCAAAATTGCTGAAATGAAAAACAAAACCATCTATTTAAATTGAGCACAAGCTGGTCTGGTAAACAAATGTCTTCCAGGTTGAGCTGATATGTTTGCCGACTCTGACCCTATTGACTGATCTCTGCTTGGTCACATCAATTTTGTGACGGCGCATGAACTGCATGTCAAAGAGTTGAAAGACACGAAATCACTACATGACAAAAATCTGACTTCTGTATTTGTGGAACAAACAGGGAAATTAAAACATCAAAAACTGAAGTCAACACTTCAACCTGCTCTTTCAGTTCAAAATACAAAAATATTGACTTACAATCATATGAGCTTTACGAAACTAGCAAAAACTCACCACTAAAATGTTGCATGAGTGATATTTTGGCAAAGAATAAACTACAAATTAAATATAAAAAAATAGGGATGCTCAGATCTGATATTTGGATGGGAGGCACGTCCAACGCGAACTCAAAAAGCTGGACTGAACGTCCGTGTTGATCCATTTAGCCACACAACAGTGGGAAATACAAGTAGAGCTAATATAACATGAAGGAAGATAACTGCAGTCTGCAGGCATTTCACATTGTGACACAAACTGATATTCTTCACATGTTGCAAAACTTTATATAACTGAAAACTGTGGTCAAAGGTCGATGCTTTGGCCTTCCCCTCTCACGTTTACTTTTGCTCGTTACATAATGTCTTTCTGGTTTAATGCAAGTTAGCAACACTTGCTGGAAAGCTTTTATTGCACTTACAGTAACAAAACATTGTTGTCAACTCAATATTTCACTGCTGCCTCTATTCAGCTCTAGACATGAAGCGTGTACGTGTGTGTGAGTGAGGAGACTGTAAATAAATGCAGATAATGCCTGAATACACTTTTTTCTACTGTATTCTATAAATAATCAGTTGCTTACAGTTGTTGAAGGCATCATTTATTCTTCATCTCGACATTTCCCCAGTTGGGAATGGGTCGTTGTCAGGTGACCGAGTATAACCATGATCAAGCTGCATATTTTTTCCCCTCTCCTTCTTGGGTTTCTTGAAAGGCGCTATACAAATCTATATTATTATTATTATAATAATAATCTAGTTAAAGCAATGAGTCACTGTTTAAATCTATAAATTAAACTTTTTTGTACTCCCCCCCCCCAATTAATGTGTTAATGTTTACTTCCTCTCTCTACTTACATCCATTTCAGAAGTAAATCATAATCACAGATCCTTTTGAAATTCTACACCATAACCTGACATGCACCTCAATAGAAACCCAAGTTCAAGTCGATCGACGCAGCTTGGGACTATTTTGATTGATCTGTTCAGTTCCATCGAGTCCATCATCTATGCATTTCTGGCTTTTTCCCCCACAGGTATTGAATAATCATCGCCTCGATACAAGGATGTTAGCAAATTCCTGGATGGAGACTGCAGAATACATCGCAACATGGAAATGTACCAAGAATGAAGAAAAACGGACAACCGTATCATTTTGTTTCTACTGTGGCTGCCATCACATATAAAAACGTCATAAATGATACCAATGGCCACTTACATAGGTTATGATATAGGTTCTACAAAGATTCAGTGCAGACGTTTAAATAAGCATCGCAGGTATCAAAGTGTTCGTGTATTCAGCTCGCTGACGCCTGTTCCGATTCGATCCTGATTTAAAAACAAAAAAAAAATCTCAAACTCGTGACAGATGCGGTGACTCAGCCATCAACAGGACTGGCGGCATCACGTTCCTTTCTGACTGGGCAGGTCGTGTCACAAGTATTTCACTGGGCACTGAGTCGACAGGGACAGCGAGGTCTCTGTCCTGGTGTGTCAGTAACAGCTATGCAAACACCAGCTTTACTCCTGTTTTCACCAATGGCATACAGCACAG